GGCGGGAAACGCTAGCGGAGGGGAGGTCCACGGAGCTCGCCCAATCCTCGCTATCAGATGCCAGAAGAGAACAAGCCTCGGTGGGTTCGTCGAACTAGTGGACGGACGCGGCGGCAGGCGGCGGCCGTTGTTCGTCAGCTTCTTGCGGCGCGGCACCACGGCGGGCTGTGGTGAAGGCTCGGAGAATGATGCCAGGCGAGTCCTCAGAGTCACCATAGGCAAAAGCTCGCAATGAGGGCATCCGCCGTCAGCGAGCGCGATGGCCGCGTGATCCTCACCCAGGCAGGACACACAGATGACGTGACGGTCCCCGTCGCTGAGTGGGGCGCGGCACGAGCCACAGGATGGCATCTTTAAAAAGACGCAGCTCTTTTGTGATGAGAAGTGTGAGTCGCGTCAAGTAAGCGAGCAAACACTCTCAGCAGAGTAAGGATACAAAGTGATATAAAAGGATATAGAACGCCGGAAAGCGCAGCAGGTACGGCAGTTGAAGGCGGCGAGGCCAGCGACTCCAGAGCTCGTCCCGCTGAAAAGCTTGCTTCGACGGCGCGGCTTCTCACTCCGGATCCAGCGATGCGTCTGCTTCGCTGAAGAGATGAAAATCAGCTTGTACCAGCCTAACGAGCATATTTATAGAGTGAGACCACGCCCTTTCTGGCGGGACGTGACGATATGGGCGCGAGTTGCCCCCATTGGTCATTACGTCACGCAGAGTCTCTCTCGATAGGCTGCTGCATTTGCCGCAAGAGCAGCCAATAGGCGCGCGAGCTGTATCGCCTGTGTCTGCTTGCTGCTGCAAAGCGTTTTACATTAATAAAAAATTAAGGATAATTTTTGGCTTCAATATCTCGTGGAAAAGAGGTTTTCCCCTAGCGTAAGCTATTACGCAGTACGAGAGATACTCTCGTAAGAGAACCGCGCTCGGTTAACGTGTGCTAGGGATCTGTCGTGAAACATTTAAAAGCGCCAAAACGGTATTTATTGTTTGAATTGTGTAATAAAATTGACAGAATCTGAGAGCTGAGATTTTTTTACATCATAACTAACCTGCTCTGTCTAGTCTGTCGGTCTCCGTGTCCTCTTTGTTTTGCGATTTTTCTGTGCGTGAAAAAATTGATGTGTGGCGTGAGAGCGTGTGAAAAGTGTCAATTGTGTGTCTCACGGTGAATTCGTGAGAGTTGGCAGCTCTGAATGGCGCTAGCTTGGTCAACATCAGCGAATGCTGTCTGTCAAATTAATGTAATTCAAACTAACAATAAAAATGTAATATGAACAAAACGAATATGAACATATTCACTGGTAAAGGTGAAGGGGAGTAGCTTGAAGATGTCATATTTAAAAATCACTTGACATCAGCCAACGTTCCTCTGGAGTCAAAACGTCCTCTAGGAGTTGGCTCGGCTTCGGCTAAGTCTCTAGGGTCGTGTGAAGGTAGGGGCGGAGCATAGAGACTATGCCATTTCTCGTTTGTTACTCTAGAGTAGACCAACTCACTTTCTGGAGGTATACTGCCCCCATCTGGTATGGAATGTGGAGTATGAATTGATTTTTTGGCGGACATTACCAAGGCACCTTTAAGGCCTGCCCTTTTAATTCCCATAGTGCAATATATTGTATTTTTTTCAGAATAACAAGGAAATGACTAGAAATTAATTGTTGCCATATGGCAACATCACCATAGAGGGTTACGGTGATCATTTTTATAATTTTGTGCATTTCCTAGGAGTTGAACCCATGATATTGACATTGCTAGCACCATGCTCTACTACCTGGAATGATTCATATTCGTCTTGGGGTACATTACACTTGGTCTTTTCATGATTTGATAGCTATTCTATCAATATTAATGGACCAAGTGTAACTACCCCCAGAGAGATCATTAGGAGTGAGGGTGTGTGTGAGTGTGTGTGCATGCTTTTATGAGTATCCATGCCTGTAATCTGTTTACTAGTGTGCACATTGTGTGTGAAGGTTTATGCCCTTTTCTACCCCTATACTCTATGCACATTTTCACATGCATACAGCATCATGGCAGTTTGCCTCGTGCTGCTGAGATATCCACCTGTTTGAGTAGACATGATGTCACATTGAATGTCCTGCATGCTTTTGAACAGATTTCGCCTTTTTGCATAATAGGGTGGGTTATGCAAGATTATGACAAGGGTAAATGCACTCATCCCCGCGTGGTAATGGAGAGATCTATGTATACGCAATACAAAGAGTTTCTTTGTCACAGAATATCATTTGGAGTAACAACAGTCATTCACAAGAAAGGTTCACTTGACCAATTCAATCAAATACAAAAGCTTTGTATTTGTGTACTGCCTTTTAAAAACATAGCTGTCAATAAGCAGCTTCATTCATTGCAGGATCAAGCCCTGTAAGACAAAAGAGAGAAGGAAAATAAGGCGTATTACTACATGCCTTAAAAAAATTAACAAAAAAGATCATTTTGTATGAGGGAATGACTTTACAGTTGTTTCCTGAACTTAAAAATCCATTCCATTGACTTTCATTTTGAATCGTCATAAATAGTAAACAACATTGTGGCATCTTGAAACACCAAACTTGTGGTCATTTGTTTTCTTATGGCTGATTTCAGGCTTTGCCTACACATTAGAGAGCAGATATTTTGCTCAGTGGGACATTGATAGTTACAGCCTTCATTTCACACAATAGACCAAACAACAGGCACACTGTGTCAGTGTGAATCTGTTGTTCCAGACATCTTTTGAACAGAAGCTTGTGATGATCTCAGACACAAGTACCGTCATCCAGTTCACCATTAACCTGATTTTGTATACAGTTTTTATACAGAACAACTACAAAGAGTATATATCATCTTGCTTATGTACACAAAACATCAGTTCCCACGATACAACATGTACACGAACAAGAGTAGCACAACAGATAAATGACAAATTGGATAGCTGATAGATTGAAGGATAGTTTCAGCTGCCAGAGAGTGAACTAAAGAACATCGGAGCCTTTGAAGTTAAGCCTTCAAGTATCATTCCTGTTCTTTCCCACCTCAGGCTTTAGAGAAAACAGCCCTGTCCTTAAATCACATCTTAACCCCTCCAAGTCTTACATAAATATCCCCAAGGCACAAAGTCAGTCAAATTAATATCTGGCACTTAGCTTTTGCGATTATATTCATAAGGTATGAACTAGGAAGAAGACTGGTGAGCAGGTCTGGGCCTGTAGGGTTTCCTTAGGTTTGGGGTGAAATGAGACTGGATGAAGTGTAGAAGAACGGGGTAACAACTGAAAGTGCTGCAGATTCTGTATGACACCTAACCTTTCAAATAATTAAACTGTATTCACAGGAGTATTTTAGTATTTGATTACCCAATGACCAAAATACAAGCAGACTATTGGTAAATTTTATTAATACTTATCATTTACTCACCCTCATGTTGTTTCAAACCTGTATGACTTTCTTTCTTCCATGGAAAACAAAAGTATGGAGCCCTGCAGATGACATGAGGAAAATGAATCAATATGGTTCTCACAACTTCCCAACAAATTTGTGGCCATTTTTTATTAATTAGTTTTGGAACCTATTGGCTTTCACTGTATGAACAAAAAACAATTGAAATATTTTTAAAAGATATTTGATGTTCCACAGAAGAAAGGAAGTCATACAGATTTGAAACAACTTAAAGGTGTTTGAATGATGACAGAATTTTATTTTTGGGTGACCTATCACTTCAATGCAAATGCTGTATTGGTAAATGACACTTTTTTAAACACCTTGTCTGTAAACCGTAGCAGCACACTTCTTCCCACTTGCAAGATATCATTCCCATTCTGGTTGCACCATCTGTTTGCTCTAGTTGATGAGCTTTAAAAGGCTTTCTGATCCATTCTGATTCAGTTATACTTGGAATTGCAATATCTTCATAAATAGACCTCAAAAAGACAAAAAGACTTACTTTGGGGATGACACCTATAACTAAACCTTGAGGGCACTGAAGATGAGGCAAAACTTTTCATGGTGCACAGCTGATATGGATTCTGCATTCTTCTGAGCTGACCTATGGCATTTTGTCAAGGTTAGTCAGCAAATCATCAAGAGTAAGTGTTCCTCAGCCTTCACCCTTCCCTTAGGGCAGCCAGGTCACAGCCTGTGTACGTATGCACTTGTTTTGCTGTTCCAAATGCATTCCAAAAGCTATCGACTTATACTAAACTATTTTAGATTAGGCAACATGCAGTAAAACAAGCTATTACAAAAGTGAGTCAGGACAACTTTAGAAGCTTCCATTGACTTTACTTAAAAAAGAGACAACAATTTTTTGGTACATAGCATCTACATACATAAGCAGAACAACTAAAAAAGATAATATACAAAAACTGCAGGTTGTGCATGTAATCTCTCATTGGGACTGATTTGTATGGGTTTCATTTCAAAATAAATAATGCCTTGATACAGTGCCATTACTTAAAGAAAATGTTTGGTGGCTCATTTGCAAGACTGGTCATACTAGGGTAAATGATAACATCTTAATTAGACTTTTCAAACATATTCAAGTATTTTTTTTCCCAAGCAAAAGCACTGGAATACTACAATGATGAAAATATGCAAGAGGTTATTGCTGAATTTCCTTTTTTTTAAAAGATTGTTCCATTCTTTTGTTTATATGTGTAAAATACTGTCTTAATAACAGTGTAGACAATTCGCAAAGATAAAATGGCAGAAACTCAGACTGGAAACAGGAATCTTATGGTCCAATAAGTGACACCTCGAAACTGCTCTTGCCCAAAGTCCAAGATGACTTGATTGTAGATGTCCTCAGCTTCAATATTTTGTGATGTTTCCTGACTTCCATTGCAATGCTGTATTGTTTAATAGTAAAGGCTTCACCTTCATTCTCCAGGGCACAGAATATGGATCTTGAACAGCCAAGAATGGAAACCGTTTTTCCTGGTTGTGATCATCTCCAAACAATCAGAGTTACTTAATTGTCTTTTGAATACAATCTTTTTTTTCTTTCTTTTCCTAAAACGGAAAAACTCTTTAGCAAACTCCTTGTGAGTCCTTTTGCAAAGTTAGCACCATAATGTTATCATATTTAGCAGTCCACAAAAAAAAAAAAAAAATAGTGCTGTTAACATCAGTCCTTGGCTTTGCACAGCCAGACAACATTTTCCTTACTTCTGTCTATATGCCAAAGGTGTGGCACTCTAAAGGTGCAGGTAAAGGACTCTAATCTCGATAATTTCATTCCTTAAAATATGACATTCACAATCAAGCAAAGCAAGATTCTGGCAACTTCCTCAGCATCAGTTCTGGGCATCCCCATGATATTCACCAAGACTGCATTCATCTCTCCTGTCGCATTACATTCACTTTCAACGTTAACTTCTTGCATTTCGAAGGCTGATAATACACAGTGTTCATAATCTGGATTTGACAAAGACGGTGGCTGAGTGGTGTGGTTCATGAAAAAAGTGCCTCTACTGACCAAGACTTGGCTATAATCCCTTGTTTATTGCCATTTAGGAAGGCTGGCCATCATTTGTGGGACGTGTTGATCTGGATGTATGGAAGGATTTCACGGTGTCTGTTGGGGAGAGTCACGAGGGGGCGGTGGAAACTGGCTTGCTCCTCATCTTGGATTTTCTCCACCTGCCTCCTAAACTTTTGGGCAAGCAGGATTGATGGGACCCCTCTCCTTAACCTCTGGGCAGGCTTTCTTTGCCACACTTCATTTTTGGAATACTTCACACCAAGAGGCCCTCCTGAAATGTCCTGCAAAACAGAAGAACTTGCTGTAGTTTCTGTAATCCATTGATCTGTTGTCACATTATTTCGAAGTTTTGAAACACTAGCTAGCAAACAGTAGAGCACGGCGCTAACATTACCATGCGTCATGAGTTCAATTCCCAAGGAAGGCATGAACTGTCTACAGTGAATTCAATGCAAGTTACTTTGGATAAAAGCATCCGCCAAATCCATAAATTCTTCAAATTTCAATATGATAATGAACAAAGCCAAATTGTAGCTTCAAATCTAATAACCGTTACATACATACATTCTCTTATTGTGCTCTTATCCTGGTACAGCAAAAAATACAGACTTTAGAATGACTCTATAGGCAAATTGATTATTCGTTGAACAACCTCTCCAGGATCCTCATCAACTCATAGTGCGAATGTAGACTCAAGTGGAGCTATTGTGTTGTTGGGTTGTTTGTTTTTGTAATTTTCAAATCCAAGCAATGGCCAGCTGGCCAACTGTCTTGCCAACGCTTAACATATTTCCATGCCAAGAGCACATGGCACAAAAATTTGCCAGAATGCGGCACAACACTTGTACTTGTTTTGGTGCTTGGAATACTGACATCATTGCACATGCTGTCCAAAAGAGTTTCATGGTGTTGCCATGGGCTTTTGTTTGAGTAACTATCTCCCTTAATGTTGTTCGTACATCATCTTTAATGCAGTCTACAGATTTCTGATGATCTGTGCCATTTTCCAAATTGCTCAGCGATTCTGAGAGAGGAGACATGGTTAATATTGATTTTGCAGTGATAAAAACAGGCTGCATGTCTGACTTGCCTGTCTAGTCTGAGTCTGTGTTTGTGGGTTCAGCAAAATCATTGTGCTGGGCTTTCGGCGGGGGGAGGGGAAGATAAGCAGCTCCATGTACCTTGTGTAGAGACTGGGACACTGGGAAGACCTGCAGCGAGGTGGAGGAAACATCTCGCTCAGACTTTACAGGTTTTGCACAGTACTGCTCCAACAGACGCAGCTCACAGCTACGAAAGCAGCATTCTTCCACTATTCCTCTCTGAGGACGGCGGCTGTTTGATCTGTTCGGCCTGCCTGGGTGGGGGAAGAGAAGGTAAGCGATCAACTCTGGAGTTCCCCTGGAAAGCGACCAATGCTACCAATTCACACCCTTTTGTTTATAATTCACCAAATCCCACATGTGGCTGCTGGCATGTTCCTAGGATTTCTGAAATCTGAGACTGCATCAACAGATCCTTTCTTTCTTTCCTGTTCTTTGTGACCCCCTTTTTATTTTTGGTACTAACCGATTTGATAAGGACTTTAAAACATTGTGGACAGAAAAACAAATATTGTTCTATGTTCCCAAGGATGTGTGAATAGCTTGCAAAATGGATCATTTAACCTTGCCATTTGCCTACTAAACAGAGATAAAAGATAAAGAACAGCAGGAGAGGTACAAAAGGGGGAAGTCCACCGTCATCTGATAGGAATACAGGGGACAAGAGAGAGAGAGAGAGAGAGAGAGAGAGAGAGAGAGAGAGAGAGAGAGAGAGAGAGAGAGAGAGAGAGAGAGAGAGAGAGAGAGAGAGAGAAATCGTTTGCAAACCAATAAATACCTGCAAACACAAATTCAATTTGTAATTTGTCCCCCTAATAATTTATCCCGCTAACATGTTTCCATCCTCATTAATAAACACGCGCATTGTGACAGTCATTAGTACTCGTGTAATTATGCAACCAGCAATTTGAAAGACAAGACAGCTGATTATGCCATTTGCTATGACTACATCTCAATTTAAATCTACTTACAAATGGCTATGTAAAGGTTTAGATTGCCTGGCAATAACCATCACACAGCACTGTTAAGAGTTACACTTACTGATATAAAACCCATTTTCTCCACACACGAACTGCAGAGTATCCACAAGTTCTCCACCGCAAAGTGTCTCCGCCGTTGCTACGGGGGATGCCAACATGAACAATGACAGAATGAAGAGTATCAGTGAGCACATCTGTAAAATGAAAACAGACTTGAGTGAGTCAATTCATACACACGCAGTCAAACTGTATCGTTTAAAGAGGCTGATGTAATTGTCTGGTTTTCATTCACACGAGCAAATAGTATTCAACAAAGTTCAAAGTAACTGTGGAGACGCTATCCGTATCAGTGATACAATCAAGCAATGGCTACACTTAAAACAACCCTCAAACCCACAGAATGATGAAAATTATGAAAACTTTTCTCAAAGTTTGACATATCGTCATTAATATTCATATACAAATTTTAAATAATTACGTTGAAATTGTGCAAATGTAAACATGCAGAAAGGTAGTACTACAAGCTCATATGATCACTTTCTCTTACCGTTGTTTGTCTTTTCTCCGTTTTTCGACACGATGCACAGAAAAGATGGTAATCGTCCATAGTAGGCGGTTTGTGGAAAGCGACGTTTACTAGCTGTTGTACTAAAGAGTTGCTTTGTTTAATTTCCAGTCTGCTGCATCTCTGTGAGTGATGCTTGTGGCTGTCTCAAAGTTCAGAGGACAGGCAAGGGATATGTACTGAGAGGCAATACCCGCCCCTCGTCGCACCCCCAGCCCAGTAGCGATGAACGAATGGCTTTTGAGTCGGATCCTTTTTAAATGAACTGGGTTGAACCGCTTCACAAAACTGGACATAATCAGTGAATCGGTTCATAAGTCAACAACTCGCATGAACAAGAACTTGTTCTAATTTCATAAGAAAATAAATAACATTTCAACCAAGATATGCGAGTTGATTTTAGTAGTATTTCTTGTTTCTACAAATTATATTTTGATTATAAACATGAGTTGATTGCTGCAACAAACGGACATGTAAAATTACAACAATCACCCTTATTAAGAAAACACAGTATGCCTAATAAGTGCTTTATATTTTACTGGGACGGTTTTGGAACGCTTTACGTGATGACGTAAATAATCTCGTTTTGAACTCGTTCTTTGAAAAGAACTGTTCGAAAGATCCGATTCGCGGAAATGCTTTCCCAATCGCCTACTGCCAGTCCGCTCACAGTGCGTGTGAGAACTGGAATGCAACTCTTAATCAAATTCAATTTGACAACAAGAAGTAGGCTATTTCGATTTAAGCCAATATTTGTCCTTAATCCACTTAAGAAAATATGTTCAAACTTCATATTTAGAATACTTTATTATTATTTTCCAAATCTCTAGTATTTTTTTAACATTGTCATATAACACGTTTTTTTGCTCGTCTGATTCGGGAATCCTAAAACAGACGAAAAGCAATATGATACTTGATGCAAGAATATTGTGAAAGTGCAAGGCACTACATGTTTAAATGTTTGAATGCATGCACACTCAGCTGGGAGTATACCTGCTCACCAATGACGATGCGCATTCTTAGTCAAATAGCCCCTGCTTTAAAAAACCTTTTGGCAACAGGACAGGTCAGCCCGAGGAATTTTAATTGACGGAACATTCTTTCAGCTTCTCACCATAACAAAGGGGGTTGCAATCGCATTCCAGTGAATGCAGACAGACACCGTGCTGAAATTTCACTCTCACACGACAAGTGTTGACCCTTGTGCGCGCGCGCTACATCTCGTGCGAAAACCTAAAATCATTTATTTTATTTAAAAAAGCAAATCAATCATTTGTCTATACGCCGTTCACGACGCAATGAAACTGCTAGGCTATAGTGTATTTAACAGAAAATTTGTACACATACCAGTCTAGAAGAAGTAGGCCTAATAAATAAAGTGCTGCATGGAAATGAATTAACAGTCAACATGTCCTGACATGCCTCAAACTGGACATAATGGAACTTTAGTAAAACTAATTCCATTGTCTGCCTGAAAACAGCAGTCAGTGTCACGCAAAATCCGCTCATTTTAATTCACTCTAAAAGTGGAAATGGTATGAATTGGACATCAATCGGTAATATTAGGACAAAAATCAGCATGTAGGCTATAATTTTACTGTCAGTATAGGCTACTCAAGGTTCATAAGATTTTATTTTTTTCAAATAGACAGGCCCAACACCACTCATTAAACAGATTGTGATAATGTATTAGACAAGAGACAACGTCCACTAATAAAAAAAAGAACATTTATTAGTGTTTAATATAGTGTATGAACCATCTTGTGACATTAGGCTATCATGACAAGTACACTATGGCACTCTCTAGTGGTCCAAAGTTATAAAGCCAGTGTAAAATGACTACATGAGTTAGATTTTAGCTTAATCTGATTAAAGTTAAATTAAATTAATAAATATTTTAGAAATGATCAGAATGTTATATGTGTCAGGAGGTGTGTGAGGAAAGCCATGGACTTCTTTCTCTGCTACCATCAGGCAGACGGTACCGCAGCATCCGGTCCAGCACCAGCCGGCTAAAAGACAGTTTCTCCCCACAGGCCATTAGACTTCTCAACTAAGGTCCCTCAATACAGCCCCATAACCACCACCACAGCATGTATCTGGTCTAGACACATCATACACTTCTAACACACACATCTTCAATGTAAAAACAAAAATACACATTATATGTACTTTACTTCTTACTGTATTATTTGTGTTTATAATGTGTGTATGTATTGTATAAATCCAGTTTTGTGTATATTTTGTATATTTATTGTATTTTGTATATTTTGTCATGACTTGTAAAGTGCACTTTCTGGAGTATAAACCAAAGACTTTCACCCACCACTGCACTTATGTGTTTTGGTGGTTTGACAATAAAAAGTGATTTGATTTGGTGTTGTGTACTGTCATTACAATTAATCTGATACAGTGAGCCATTGGTCAGTTTGGGACTCCATGCTGTTTTTGATATGTTTGGCACTTTCTGCCAGCAAGAAAGTGTTCAGGCCTTTATTTGCATTCCTCATGTAAACCAGTCCCCCTAATCCTCACACCAAAAACCTTACACTCACTAGCCTATTAATAGCAGTAACAGCAACATTCACCTGTGCAATAAAAAATTATCCTACTTTTTGTTCAAATGTGTAATACAATCTAATGCACGTTAGTGTTCCCTCCGAAACGTAAAAAAAGAGTTGATTTTCAAGAGTACTGTGGAAAAGCCTCACTCTGTATCATTTGTTATGGTCTTTGTAGGTTTATACTGTATAAGGAAATCACCTGTCGCGGATAAAATTTCCTGTGATAACATGAAATTTCATTATGTGATGTAAAATTAAATATATAAATAAAGTTCAAATGTGTTCTAAGAAAATACAATTATATTGAATTAAACAATGTGGCAACATGGCTACCATTGTGAAGAAGCCAGCCTTTAGATTCCTCTTTACATAAGGCATTATATAATGTGGTATTGTGTCTTCGGTTTAGTAATGATATTTGTTACATTTAAATTTATAGTGATAACTAAAGTATTTATGATTTGATAATGATCTGAAATATGAAAAGTGTTTGAGTGGACCACTGTTGCTATGGTTTCCTACTCTTCCGGTGAAAGTGATTGCACAAGCGTCTTCTGTCTGGTGAAAATGCACACTGAATCAATTGTAATATTTTTTTTGGAACAAACTAATTAAAATGTTTGACACCCAGTTTATACGTATTTACATTTTTTTTTTTTTTATTAAACCTTTATTTATTCAGGTAAACTGTTTGAGAACCACTTCTCATTTACAAACATGACCTGGCCAAGAGGCTACAGGAATAAATAAGAACATACTGTACAGCTGTACATAGTCAAACACATAACACATAGAACAAGCAACTAAATAAAAAAAAGATAGACAACAAAGGGGAAAAGAAAAGGAATAGAGTGCTTAAATATGTGTGTATAAATATGGTTCATGATTGTCCACAGGAACAAGAGTCAACTATATGATTTTCGAGGTTTTGCTTAAAGGTGGAGATTGGGATCAGAGATGTAAGTTTCATAGTATTTTGTAGTATGTTCCAGTCATGTACTGATGCAAAGCGGAAGGCATTACGTCCAAAGGTAGTAGAGGTAGGGGTGGGGGGGGGGGGGGGGGGGGGGGGGGGGGGGGGGGGGATCTTGTGTGATAGGTGTTATGAGCGGCATGAAGTAGGGATGACAAATAGAGAGGTGCCTTGCCCAGAATTGTCTTGTATATGAAGAGAAACCAATGATGGAGCCGCCGGGTATAAAGGGAGGGCCAACCCACCAGTTTATACAGGTCACAGTGATAAGTGTGAAAGGATGCATTAGTGGCAAAACGGATGGCTGAATGATAGATTGTGTCAAGTTTTATTAGAGCTGTTTTTGGTGCCATTCTGTAGATAATATCGCCGTAATCCAAAATTGGCAGTACTGTCGTCTTAACGAGGGTGCAATTGGAAGCATGGGTAAAGGAGGCTTTATTACGGAAAAGAAAGGCTAGTCTAGCTTTGACTTTTGTTTGAAGGTTATTGATGTGTGTAATGAATGACAGGAATGAATCCAACCAGATACCTAGATATTTATATTCTTTGACATACTCCAGAGCCATACCGTTCATGCAGGTGATTGTAGGTGGAGTCTCTGTAACCTGTTTTCGGCTAAAAAGGATACATTTTGTCTTACTGGCGTTAATACGGAGGTGGAGACTGTCAAAGAACTGCTCTATATAGGTGAAGCTGAGTTTAAGACTGGAAGCCGCAGAATTGGGAGAGGAACCAACTGAGTACAAAATGGTATCATCTGCATAAAGATGAATCCGAGAGGTACCAACAGCTCTGGCTATATCATTGATGTAGATAGAAAAAAGGATTGGACCCAGGATGGAGCCTTGAGGGACACCTTTAGAGACAGTAAATGGGTCTGACATAATGTTGTCAACCTTCAATTGCTGGACTTGGTTGGTGAGATAATTAGCAAACCAATCACAGCTAGAGGAGGACAGACCAATACTGGTCCAATCAATAGGGAACTCAGAGAACTGTAGGGACATGTTAAATAGTCTAGTGACGGGAGCGGCAATAATGCGGGATGCTGCTTTTAAGAACATGGGATCAAGACCAGCAGATTTGTTTGTATTCAGCTTGGTGAGTTCATCCTGGACTTCAGAGGTGGAAAGAGGCATAAAGGAGAAGCCCCTCTTGTCTGATGAAGAAAGTTGAGCATCTGCATCGGTTGTAACTGAAGTGTCCATTGATACAGGATTAGGGTTTGGCATTGAAACTGTATGGGCTGCATTAATAAAGTGATGGTTTAGAAGTGAGGCCATACGAGACTTCTCAGTAATAATAATATCATTAAATAACATAGAAACTGGTAAATGAGGGGAAATAACTTTGTTTTCCATTACCTTGACTGTTTTCCAGAATGCCGTAGCATCAGTGCCACATGTGGTGAGTTTCTCTTTAAAATGCGAGATTTTGGCATTTCTGATAGCCTGTGTTGCTTTATTTCTGCATTGACAGAAGGCCAGCCAGTCAACTGGAGATTGGGTAAAGCGGGCCTTTTTCCAGAGGGCATTTTTACGATGAATAGTCTCAGCCAGGTCATTGGAGAACCATGGACTATATAGATTTTTTATTCTATTTTTTTTCAGAGGGGCATGCTTACTCGTAATCAGACTGAAAGTGTTTTTAAAAACACATTTAAA